ATGTCAGGCTGTAGTTAAAATGAATTAAAAACACCTTTGCGTTTTAACACTTTGAAGTGTTTTATTTAAATGTGTACTACTCGCGTTAACTACAGACAATATGCAATATGAAATTGTTTCGAGTTATGCTATAAACACTGTCTAAGCTTATTGAATACGTATTTCTCGCGGCCGCCCATGCCTCGAACCGGCAGATAAACAGGAAATAGCTGGGAAGTAGATGGAAATAAGAGCTAAACGCTACGAAGACAGATTTGTTTTATTCACATTTGGGATACGTTCAGCTCAGTAGGTATATAAACAGAGGAACATTCCGAGCGTGAAGCCTTCGGAATCGGTGGAAAGTGTTTCCGAATTTTCACGAGTTATACCATTAAGGAAATCGATTCCGAATGTTTGCGGATTAGATTCGTTTATCTCGTATTATTCGGGGGAGGGATTATCTCGCGTGTTTTTGATGAAGGCGGATTCTCGATTCATCCACGATCGTCTTCTCTAGTATACATCGCTTTAATTGGTGTATAGCGGCACGCCCGAGGTTCGCATTCAAACTTGTGTTTTGAATGCGTTTCATAAACGTTCTCGGTTTAATCCTTGTGTAGTGCTCGAAAGCCGGTATTAGTTCAGTTTAGGATGTCTAATATTAAGATCGTGGAATACGAGATTTACTGTGTTTGGGGACTGTCGGAAACTGGAACGGCATAGTTCTGGCAATAATATGCTTCAGTATTAGGAGCACGTTGGATTCCGTCTGCGATCTTTAGTTTAATAATGCGATCTCATATTTGCCGTCTATGTTGAAAGTTTATCTTAAACCTCTTTTCCGTAAGTATCTAAGATCCAGTTTGCGGTAATTGCGTGAATCCACCTCAGCTATTATCCTCGTCCTGAACGGCCAATGTTGTAATTACATGGGGTTCTATGAAACATTTTAGATATTGCCTGTAGTTTACGCGAATAATGCACCCTTAAATAAAAAATAAGTTGTTTTAGTTAATTATAATTACAGTCCCTCCGTGACCACGAAACATCGGACCATAGTTTAAATAAATTCAAAATAAGTTATCTAATATATTTCGGTTTGTGTGTTGTCTTTTACATTCTTATATAATTATTTTTATGCAAAATTATTAAAGTATCAGCAACAACCGTATGAGAAGATTCTTGCAATACAATAATATTCGTGGAATACAAGGCACAGTATTTATAAATAAGTAAGAAATTAACTTGGCTAAAAGATGGGATGAGAATTAAACACCACGACACATAATAAAATATTCGAGACTTTTATTTAGCCTGTGTCCTCTGTGGGCTTAATTTCCGAGAATCCCAAATCTCTGAGGATTGGTGTCGTTTGAATGTATTGGAGGAAAATTCATAATTTTCTATGAAAATGAAATTAAATGTGGAGATTTGCAATTCAAAATTATTGGACGAATTTTTTGTCTAAAATTTTCTTTTTTTATTAATACGATTCTAAAATATTTTAATCCATATATGTATTAAAGGCTAATGTATATTTTTATCTGTTTCAGGTACATAAACAATCAAACAACTCCGAGTCTAACGAACGACAAAACGCAAGTAAAATATTAAATATCCTGGTAATTTTAGCTTTAAAAGCCCTTAATAATTTCATCTTGTGCTTCGTTGATCGCCAAGTAAGTTCCGAGAAACATTATTTACTGTTATCATTGAAATCCCTTTGTATCCGTCCGTCCGTTCCGTTTCGACCTCGAACTGTCCGAAACTTATTGTTTTGAGTCAATCGTTTCTCTATTTATCTAAATTGAATCTCACAACTCGATAATAATGAATTTTCTATTTCTTTGGTCCAAATAACTTTCCTGAAGTCTTTCATATCAAGATTTTAGAGATTTCAAGACTTTAAAGCTAAAGCGTTTATCATTCATTGAAATAGATTTTCTTTATTTTTTCTTTTAACTTTTTCGTATCACTTATCAACTATAACCTGTTAAACATCAATCAATTTTACTTTGAATAAATAAACACCAAACAAATCTGAAATATCACTCCAACGGGACTGATTTATTAATCTCGTGTGCTCGGGAAACAAACATAATTATTAATTTGTGTACGATTCCTATTGAAAGATGGTGATACAAAAGTTCCCAAGTTGAATAAGTCGGAAACGTTTTGAAAGCCGTCTGCGTCGAGTTCGAGTTTGTTAAATCTTAATATCGAACGACCTATTTCTAGCATTGACGAACATTCAAATTACGCGATATTAGTTTTAAAATTAGCGAAGTCTTTGAATCTCGGGAGATTTACTCTCGAGTGTCTTTCATTATTCAAATTTAACTTTGACGCGGATTTGTGGCGAATATTTTCAGACTTTACCTTCTTTGTACGTCGTCGGTCCCTAGTGATGTTACCAAAACATGCGCTTGTGTATTTTATTTAGCCTGTATTCTTTACAATTAATACTAGTCCTACTGTTCCCTCTCAAAGGAAACTTTTCAATATCTTGTCTTACTTATTAATCAGACAAGAAGAAAATTAGTTCGAAATCACTGCATCATCGTGGGCGCGGGCATCTTTCTCAGCAACGCCATCGGAGACCTATTAATCAAATACTCTTGTGATTAATTAGAAAATCAGCAATTAGTCGGGAGGCGCGGATTCTGAACGCCGTTTACTTAGACGCGAGTGGATGTTGATGTGGTTTTTTAAATCTTAGATTCTTATTGTTTTTCTCGTACTATGACTCATTTGTAAGGCTGTTTTATCACACATTTTTTGTCTTCGTCCGTCATTCGTTATACAGGGGTGTACTTTTGATGTACCTCCGTACCGCCACCAGACGTTGTTCCATTGTGTTCATCTACAGTGTTTACTGCTTTAAGTTGGAAACCAACTTCTTTGTCGACTATATCTACATTTCATTAATTCCATACGCGTATATTAGGTTTACCGTTTTCGGTGTGGGATCTTATGAATTTCGTTAAGTTTAATTAAAATCCTGGTATCACAACAAGTTATGTTCCCGAAACAAATTACGAAAAATGGAACAGAATAATATGAGCGTTATATTAAACATTAGCGCATCCAAACGAGAAGGCTTTTACGGTCCGATGGCGTCTTAGGTAAATGGGGAGCACGGGGAGAGGGGCGCTTACTTAGCAAGAAATGAATTCTCTAGATTAATCTCTAAGACGCAAATTCGTTTCTAATGATCGATGTATTTTCTATTATTCATCTTAAAATTTATTTTTCATTTGCGATAATAATTGATGTTCTGTGAAACTGCAAATGTTATAATATTTTTTTAATCTACCTAGAGAAACCTTATAAACTCAAGCAAATGTGTCAAGTAAAACCTTAAACCAAACTGGACATTCAATTGTTAATCTATGGTCGTACAGAAAAGTTGCTCCTACTAGAACTATTTAGATAAAGACCAACAAAACAAGAGTAAATAAAACGCTAGGAGCAGTTCTGGTTGCACAAAAATAGAATTAAATCTCTGCCATTGGGCAAGTCGCTCCAAATGCTAAGTGTATGGCGTCGGGCCAGAGCGCGACAATTAGGCTTCCGCTGTCAAACTATTGTTGCTTGCGAGGAAGTCCAGCCATTAAACCGGCGTTTCTTAGTGAAGTTTTCAATGAGCGAGTTTGATTAAACTTTATCAAACCGTGGAATTTAGAAGACCTTAAGATTTTTTATTATTATTAACTTCAACTCAAATTTAAAGGGTAATAAATTGGGATTTATTCTCAAACTATGTGGGCCTTTTGATTTCGCTTTTTTTAAGTTCACTAACGACGAAAGTGCTGCTATAGGTTAGCAGCACTTTCGTCTACACTGTTTACTTGACAGCATAGCAATACGTGATACTAAATGAATAAATACGCCATTACTTAGATCGCGATTCTCGTAGCCCTATATCTCCTCGATTTGTATGCTCAAGTGCAACTCTTAATTAAGTATCACTGAATACGTTTTTGTTTCATTTCTCATTGTTTTAGTAGCAATACGCTCCTTTATTTTCTTACTCCTACTTTTTGCTGCTTCCTTAATTATTATTTAACTTTTAGTGTTCTTTCTCCTTAATTGCCACTGTCTAAGGTTGTCGTAGTAAAAACAAATGTTCTGCGTTGTCCGAGTCCGTACTAAAAAGAGACAGTATAATAAAGATTAAAAATATTTGTGGGTCGTTTTGTACAACCAGACGTTTGATTACAAACGTTTTTAGGGATAGAAGTAGGAAGCGAAGTTCGATCACGGGGGATTAAGTCTTTAAACATTTTTATTTAATTAAGTAATTCATCAAATATATTAATTATACTAAATACCACTTCAAGTTTTAAATCGGATCTCATCCTACAAAATGAGTCCAGATTTGAATTCTTCAAACAAATTGAATTTGCTCCCGCTTTTAAAACGCTTAAGAAAATGAAGATTTGATCATAACACTTGAAATCCGAACGAATCCGCCATCTAGACCGATTCTGGCTTATTTACCGCGAGATTTGCTTGAAACGTCGACATTTTTCATCGCTGTTGGGATTCCATTAAGAGCGAGTCGCTCCGGACTTCTTAATTTCCGTCCTCTTGTTGAATCCCAAATAAACTGGGCTGTTGCTAGGTAAGACTAGATGTATACATTTATAATTCAAATTCTTATAAATACATACAAATCTAATTTCAAAATGTCTTTTTTTGCATTAATAAAAAAATATTGTTTCATCCATCGAAAGTCCTATCGGAACCCGTAAACCTTATGTACCTTTTATGAATATTTCAATAACAAAATGTTATTTCAAGTTAAATACTGTCTGTAGTTTACGCGAGTAGAACAAATTTAAATAAAACACTTTACCGGTTTAAAACGCAATATATATTGGTTAAACTTATTTGAAAATGTGCAGCCGTCATTAAGTTATAGATAAGATCGAGTATAAACTTTTTCGATTGACTGATCCTAATATTCACGTAATTTTACTAGGTCTTAGTACCCTCACAGCTTACACAGAGCCATGGCGCTGAGTTATCGTGACCGAGGTTAACGTCTCAATGAACCGCTTCGAGATTTAGTGTTCACAACCGTCTTTAGCAGAATAGATTCACCAGTAAGAAGACAGGAAAACGCTCGTTGTACAAGACAGTTTCTGCAATGAGTAATTTACAACAAAAATGAAGTAGTACATAATATGTGCTCTTTCCTTTTTTGATATTTGTTCATTCTCTCTTTTTTATCAAATGACTTTCTCTTATTTTAAGGAATACTTCCAGAGGTTTTGCTCCTCTAAGATACAATTCGATTAATATTACAATTTCATCCAAATTGTCAAACTATTTCTCCATTATCTGGTTCGCTCTAGTTTCTACTTCAAGCTCGCTCAGCTAAATTAGCTCGCAACTTTGATCTTTACTTTAAGCTTGAATATTTAAGGTTTAAAATTTTTAAAACTTCCGCGCACCATTATTTTACTGGGTCGGTTCTTTTTTTAGAAGGAAATAATTTGCCAACATTTTATTTCGCTTTAACAGGTAACTTTGCTCTAGATTTTAAAACGTTTTTCAAAGTGGCATTGAAAGTTCTTCTGTGGCCCGACTTTTCACTTAGAATATTTAACTTCTTAGATTCCTAACGAAATAGACAAAACGAGTAACAATGTACGTATTATTTAGTAATATGTCTATTATGTGCGGGACGCGACAAACTAATTAGATATATCTAACTCCATTGAATTTAATATTTAAAATCGAGAATCACAATAGTCTTCGATTTCTAGAACGCTTCAATAATATCCATTGACACATCTCCTCCAAAGAAATCAAGTAAGAGAAATGCGAGAGCACGAAACCAAAGAAATAAGGACGCGTGCAATCGAGCATGTTGTGAATAATTAGGCAAATTTAAAGTATTAGAATCAGTGATCTCAAAATGGAGATGGAGACCCGCAGCTGATAGAAACGGCGAAGAGTGGAAGCTGCAAAGGACCCCACGAGGGTTAAGACCCGGGAAGCCGTCGGGCACATGGCCGGGCCGCCCTCGAAAGTCGGGGGCGGCCAGGAAAAGCTGGGAAAAGTTCATCACCAAAGGCCTGTGCTACGGGTGCGGTGGTGATTACAAGTTCCAAGGTGGACTGAAAGTTGATGTAAATAGTTCGGAGTATACGGGTTATAGATATTATCATACAAAGCCTGGGTACAGGCTAAGGGCGAACTCGTGTGAGGACACAAGATTCATTCACGTTAATTTTGTTCTTCTTGCTGAGTTCAGGCATTTTGAGAAGGTAAGTTTTAGATATTTTTTTTATCTTCTTTCCAGGATTTTACTATAAACTTTTATATATATTTATTCACTGATGCGATGCGACACTGATGGTGAGCTAGAAATTGTCAATTTATCAGCCGCAGGTCAGAGACAAATTTGGTAGCCATAACCAAATTATTATCTTGACTGTGATACAATTTTGTCGTCCGGATATCATTTGAAACTTAAGCTAAGTTATACACTTAAACAAACAGACACTTAAAATTATAAGCCCAGCAAATGGTAGATAAATATAGTTTATTAATTTAATAAATCATAGAGATAAACAAAGGGTTCAATTGACGAAAGCTGTAGTAGAAAGTATTAAGAATTTTCCTATTTTCACGGGTCAAACACTCCAGCTGAGCCATACCGACATTAATGACATAGAGCATCGTATAATTGTTGAAAACATTCTAAACAACGATTGTATTTTATTAACCTTTTTAAAGCATCACAGCCAGAGAAAACTCAAAGATGTTAGGACGAAAGATAATCACCCATCAGTCAAGCCGTTGTAATGCTAGAGACGACGTCTAGACTTAGATGGATGAGGCATGAACTATTCGTTCAAGTGGAAAGAGACAAATTCGCAAATACTCTCTTTTGATTCGAATGAAACGCGAAGATTAATTTTATGTTTGGTGAAGTGATCTGTGCGTTTTACAATTATTCGGATTTCTATAGTTTTTGGGTTTTACTTTCTTTGCGTCACGTCGTCCTTCAAAACAGTCTTAGATATAAATCTAGTTCAACACTTGTTTATGTAGAAATACAGAGACTAACTTTTGAATTAGCTTTCTTACTTGGGTTAGATTACCTAGTTATATTGGGGTTTGAATGATATCAATTAAAAATATTTGTCCACGAAGCATGTACGTCAATATCCTAACAAAGTCATGGAGCTTCACTAAGAATCAAATGCTCAAATTCCGTTTTTCTAGACTTCGAAATGTAACTTTGAAGTATATTACGTATTTAAATAAAACACTTTAACGGTTTAAAACGCGATATATTAGTTAAACTTATTTGGAATAAGTTTAACTAATATATCGCGTTTTAAACTTAAAAAAATTAAAACGTAAAATTGGTTGACCCTTTATTCACGCTTGCCCTGATGCGTAGCTCTCCTACGCTACGATAATATGTCCCTGTATCGCAAAGACCAAAACTTCGACATAAATTTTAGCCAAGTATCCACTAAGCTGGCTTATCGAAACAAGACGAACAAGCTACGGGCAGGTCGTTATCGCAGGTGGCCGGCCGGTTGTATCCGGTTAAATCCAGCTACAACCAGTAACCAGACCGAGGATTACCGCCTCAATCCGTATCTGGTAGATTTATTCGTATTTTTAAATTTGTTGGGTCAGGCTTGATTTGTGGATGTTTCATGTAGTAGGTACAAATTTTGATTGCAGTTAGATGCAATATTAAATAATTTTAGAATTTGGCCAAAGCTAAAACCGAATGTGGTTCTGGTTCATTTATAACTTTGATATGTTTCCTTACATTGCGAGTTCCCGCCAAACCCACATTTCACAATCAAATTCAGCAGACGCGTAGAAATTATGTAAATTATAATTCTATGACAGACGAATAAGGAGTTGAAAATTAACCGTGCATTTGTCAAACGTGAAGTGCGCCACGCGGGGGGAATGCCTAATGAACCGGCTCCGAGCGGATTAAGCCAGATTCAACTGGATTAACGTCGGTTTCGACCGGACCGGGCAAGATGGCCGACGAATTGTCATTTCTTTGATGCAATGGTACGTGATAAAAATTTCGAATGTACGTAAAATTGCTAATTAAATCGGATTATTTATGCTTTTGAATTAATCACAATTATATCTAATGTGTGTCAAAGTTAAATTTGTAATAGGCTAGATAACCCCGTGAGATCTTTAATGAACAAAAAATTGTAAACAGTTTACGTCCAGAGTTATAGTTTGAGCCTACGAAGGATCCCTCTAATCGCTTTGAGCGCAACAAAAACAAATTACAAAGTGTACAGCGGGGCGTTTAAGATTTCTCGCAAACTTTACAGCCTATGGGATTACTCTTGGAGCGGAGACAAGTTTTTAATTAAATCTTATAAATTGTATCCTTTACGCCTATTTCACCCTCAGCGAAGCCACCAGCTGATATTTCAAACTTAATTTACGACATACACTTCGAATTAACTTGAACCGTAGACAACACGATTATAACCAAAATATTTATTTTGAAAATTAAAAAAAAAATAAAGACTTCAATATTAATACTTTGAAGAGATTAACAAACGAAAACAGCTTTAAAAGCATTCGCCGCTTACGAAATATGAAATTTAAACTCGGCCACGTTAAAACTACCCGCAGTAATCAGTGGGCAAACAGAGCAGCCGAACTGTGATCGCGTACAAATTGTATTTTTAATTAATTTCCATTGTTTTACGTTTTCGCGACCGATTGCGTTATTTTGCGACTGACTGATGAATTATGGTTTCAGAATGGAATTATCATTTTTACGAGTAATGCTCAATTTATTCACACCTCTAGTTTAACTTAAATTTTAGTACAATTATTTTAACTACGTCCCGACGTTTCGGACGTTTTGCAGTATCTATGGTCACGGGGAGCACGTTTTAAACCGTTAAAGTGTGGTATTTAAATGTTCTTAATTTGTTAGGTATTGTGTTGCAAGTGTAAAGATGAATATTAAAGTGTATTGTGTAGTTTTTAGAGATCACTGTCAACATTAAATGTCTTTTGCTCACACATTTGTTTCCTTGAAGCCTGTGAAGCCCCGACATAAAAGACTATAAAGAGTGTCAGTAAAATCGTAAACCCCCTTTACTTTGTACGTTTAAGTTATTAGGCTTAAGGTAATCTTAGAAAAAGGCCCAATCTCGGTGGAGCCTTAATATTTCAGCAGGCTTTTATTATGTGTGGATTATTATGAGAAATGATTTCGCGAGTTTATTCTGAGAAACAGATAAACATATCTTACAATTTATTTATATTTTAGATAACAACAGACAATCACGGTGTTTACTTGAGAGTTGTAATAACCACGCTCAAATCAGACCAGATGTGTTCGACCTTTTTAATATTTGGGAATCCATAGACTGAAATCAAAACGCGATTCAATTTCACGGCTTTTTCATCTGTGGCCGGTAGTTCGTGATCGGAAGGAAATTCGATTCTCTTATCACCCATTTCACATTGAAATTTGTACACGAAGTTCTGAATAAAAACGTTTGATCAACGACTCGTGGGTTTGATTCCCACCGGGGGAATCAAACCCACGAGTCGTTGATCGTTAGCCATACATTGCTACAGTCAGACCTACAAGCCAGACTGCCAGTAGGTTAGGTTAATTCCTCCATATTTAGTAGAAGGTTTTAATGCCTAGGAAAGGTCTAAATTAAAAGTACATATGTTTTTATTACTCTTGTCCTGTATCGAATTTCCGGTTTTAAAATTACATTTTCAGCTCATTGTTTTCATAACTCCGAGCAACAAGACAGTGTATTAAGTAGAACCGACGATCCATTCATCTTCGTCTGACGGCTGCCTTACCGAGATTTATCGGCCTACCTGTACACTTTTATCCTTTTAATACAAAGAATAAGTGGCCGCAGATACGTAGCTACGGGGCAGATACGAAAAAGGTATTGAGGGTATCTAAAATGAGTTGTACAGCAAAAGAAAATGTGTCTGAAGTCGTTGTTACAAGGGAACACTATTTTAAATGTCTTTGTGTTTTTATCTTTACTAATATTTAAAATTTAAAGAGTTTATTTGTTTCTTAGTTGAAACGCGGGAATTTCAGAAAGTACAGACTATATAACATCAGGCTGCAACCAAAAGGAGCGAAAAAACAGCGGGAAATGTGGGTAAATAGGGGGAAAATATCTTTGGAGGCTTCCGTTACGCGCGCTGCAATAACAGTTCAGGAAACCATGAAACAAACCAAAAAATATAAAAGAATGATTCTTCTTTATATCATTTAAAAAATATTCACGACATACGTCTATATTTTAAGATAACTAGAACGATGGGACGCGGACGCTTTAAGTTGAAAGTGTCCCCGTTTTTAATCTGTGATCGTCCCAGGTGCGCTAAATCGGGCCGCTATCGTTTACTTAATAACTTGGGACCGCAGCTCCCCCACCCCGCATTTTACAGCCACTTTAATGGTCTTCCTTACTCCGTGTCACTTAATAATGCATTTGAGATACAATTTTGCTTTGCCAAAACGATTATTTTTGTTATTTGAAATGCCCTTAGAATTCTCAGCCGCTTAAAGATGTGTTTCAGTTTCACGTAGACAATATAAGACTCATTGCGTTAATGACTATTTACGTGTTGCTTGGGTCTTCAAAATAAGGTCGTAAATATCCTAAATTTCTCTCAAATTGTTCCAGGACCTACAATCGGAGATCGAAACGCATCGCGATGTCTACGCATCTCTCACGGGCACCGGCCGAAGACTCTTGGGGTCCCTGTCTTCCCAGGAGGACGCCGTCATGCTGCAGAGGCGGTTGGACGAGATGAACCAGAGATGGCATCATTTGAAAGCCAAGAGTATGGCTATCAGGTAAACACGTTTTTTTTGCTTCTTATACTTGCTAGAAGTATCGTACCAATCCTTTAACGCATTCTAATTAGTACTGACGGTATCCAACGATGTATCTGTTGGAACTAATTAAGCGCTTAGCTGAAACTAGGCTGATGGTATTATGTGACTGCGGTCTCTATATCGGCGGTGAGGCCAATTATCCGCAATTCAGTTAGTGGTGGAGTACGGTGGAGCGTCCATGCTTATTTGATTATACTTTTAACGATCCGCCTTTCCGTTCGAAATTCAATATTTTAAATAGAAGTAGTTTTTAGATTCTGTCTGTCTTTTGTTTTTTATTAAATTAAAATCTATTAAGAGATACACTTGCTTTTAACACATTAGATATGTATATATAAATTGTTACCGTTTATCCCGCAATGTGTACAAACTAGAAATACACACAATGCATAATATTAGTATGATGAATACCCTCATGTTATGCAAATGAAGATTGATTGACGGATCCGTTGCAATTCATTAAGATTAAGCCTATACATGGGGAGAGCTTATGAATACGAAACGGCTTATGTTCGCCTGTCTGTGCGTTTGGACCGACTATTCTCCGGAGTCTAAGTAATTCGGAGCATTATTTCATAACTGAGAAACGATTACGGATGTATTGAAGAATTAGTTTAACAGATTAGGATTATCTAAGTAGGACTTTATATACATTAATCGATTTTAGATGTAAAAGACTTTCGACACGGACAGGACTTGAACTGGCATCCACAGCATTCCGTGCTGTTGGTCTAACATGAAGCTATCGTGTCCAAGTCATTCAACTATTGATACTCGCACCCTTGCGCAATGTCACCTTGAAAATTTAAATTAGGTACTTAATAATGCCGTGTAGGACACGGTAGCTAAATTGGTTGCAGCGACAGCACGGAATACTATCGATGCCGGTTCCAGTTCCGTCCGAGTCGTAATTTTTCTTGACAACTATTTACTAACTGAGAACAAAGTTAAATTTACTTTGTATTACACACAAAGCGTAGAAAGAACTACGTAATATAGAATAGAAAAAGACAATAGTGCAACGTGGACAGTTTCCCCAACGATTTAACTTTATTAAATCGAAACCAAGTTTTCCGTTTTCCTCCTTTATAAGACGGTAACACCCGAAAAGGAAAACCGCTCGTTGCCGCTTTACGCCTTTGTTGCATTTCCAGACCTCAAAAGGCTAAGGAAACTATTGAATAGTTTTAAAGTAGTTCATACTTTCGGCAGACGCCTTTTGTTCTATAGTTTGCACCTTTAAAAGGCGCATTAGACTGTTTTAGACCGCGTTGAATGTAACCTTTGATGCCGTACGAATTGAAAATGGTACTCATTTTATAGTCTTAACGAGATGTCCTAAATCAAAATCCGTTGTACATCTGTAAAGATTTTTAATCAAGGCTAAAAAATTAGGTCATTTATAAAATCACAGCAGCGGCTGACGTCGACGCATTTTTCACACATCTACCCTCGTTCAGCGGAGCATGAAACTCCACTGAAAGAATGACCAGCCTGTTTTATTTTACTTTTTCAGTCGCGTTATGACACGAGTACATTACGGTACATATTATAGTTAAAGCTAAACTTTAATAAAAAAAATACAAGGCATAAAATTAAGAAATAATTAGTAGAATAAAATATACTTTATTCTCTTTAAAATTATAAGAATTATATAAATTCGTAAAAAAAATATATAAAAATATGTTTGTCTGTCCGTTCGTCGTGATTCTACAGAGTGTTCAAAAGAGCAACATAACCGAGAAGTACACCAACAGATACTAGTAGTAATGACTAGTGTTTTTTGTATTATATTCGGATAGTTATTCTTACCAAACGCATTTGTAGTATATAATATATAATAGTAATTCCTAATTAAATATATTTAACTCTACCTAGTTTGCTTCGATGACAAAATTATATTTGCTATAGATAATGCCACTACGTGAGATAAGTCATGAATTTCAAAGGCGTGTCCCTTCTGTACGGAATAAACCCGTAACGGCAATTTAACCTGGTAGCAAACATAAACAAGTTTACAGCCACTTATCTGTGGCAGCCATGCATTTCTCAGTGATATACGTATCTATTATCGCGCTTGTGCCTCTTTTATTCGTGTTATATTGCATATAAAATCTTGTGGATTGTGGTCTTAGTGAAAGCGATTTGTCGCTTATTTTATTACTAGAATCGTAATACAAATAACTATTTGAGCGTGCGAACTTGTTCATTTTACTATTGTTGTGAAATAATAACTACCTACATTGGTAACACGAAAGGTTTCTATTCTAATGAAGAAGAGAATATATATAAGATATAGCAAAAACATTGTAACAAATAAAAAAAAAAGTATTGTATGTTTTTACTAACTGATGCTCCTGAATTTGAATTACACAAGGAACGTTGATTCCGCTTGTACTGACAACTTACAAGCCCGTCTTGATACATTCACACGTCATCATAAAATGGTCGTTTAGTGATTTGATAGTGAAATAAAAGTGTCGTTATCAACATTTTACTGTCAGTTTTATTATTGCGAATAGAGGGCATGTTTGTGTGACACAATTTATTCATTCTTATGAATTATACACCAATCTACACATATAGTTATGTCGCCAATCTTTTTAAATATACTTTTTTAACTTAATTGCTTTTTGTTTACTAACATTATCAAATATTTTTGTTGCAGTCACTACCTTTTAGATAGGTTCGATAAAACTTTACAACGTCTAATCTATGCTAATGTATAAACCTTAAGAGTTTGTTGTTTGTTTGAACGCGCTAATCTCAGAAACTACTAGTTCATTAAAAAAACATTTCTGTGTTGGTTAAAGCATTAATCGAGAAAGGCTATAAGATTGTGCTGTTAATAGGAACGAAGAAACAGCAAGATTTATGTAAAAAACCTGAACAATTATTCAACTACAGGGGTTCAATATGTTAAAAATAATGATTCCTAATTTAAAAATCGAAAATAAATTGAAAAAATTTTCGACTCGGGCAGGACTTGAACCGGCATCGTCAGCTTTCCGTGCTGTTGATCTACCAATTGAGCTACCGAGTCCTACACCTCATCGTCGAATTTTTTCAACTTATTGATACATGCACCTCTCGCGCAATGTAATTTCAACCTTAACACTGATTATATATGATGATATAATCAGTATTTAGATGACATAATGATTCCTCTTTAAATGCTCAAAAATTTACGCAATACTTTATGTCTATCTTTTAAGATTAACAAAAACAAATTTTGATGCCCTAAATAACTACGCGGATGAAGTCGCTGACACGGAGTTTTTTTCTTAAAACTAGCGTTATATCTATAACAGTTGCATTAAGGGTGAAATGTTGTCCCTTCTAATAAACTTCATCTACGCCTAGCCCCTAAAAGTAAACAGAGACCTGTTACGTAATATTTAAATTAGTAGCAAGCATGTGTAATCCGGAGTACAGAACAATGTTTGTCGGCGCGTGTTTGACTTGCCGCGGTCGACATCAGGTGGGGTGTTTTTAGGGTTGCCACTTAAGACAACAGGTTGTGCAAACTTATATTTTATATCACCTACAGTGAACTCTGGTAATTAAACATTTTGAACCCGGTTAAGTAAGATTTAGATTCCAAGACTTTTACCTCTATTATTGAGACTCCTGTATAAGTAAGACAAATTAATCAGGTTTTAACACGTTAAGACATGTTTGTTTACAAACAACGCGGCGGATTGTGTAACTATAATTTTCTATAATTTTGAACCTGCTTAATTGGAAAACTGAATTACTTGTGCATAACCCTAAATACTTGTGCATATGTCTTGGTCCCTTGAAATCCCAATTAATCAAGTTTCGCTGTAGTTTAATACAGCTTTCAATTAAAAAAAAGCTTTCTATCGTATAATACCTTTTTTTAATGATTTTGAATAAAGTAGTAAGAACACTATTGATGGTGAAATAAACACAAATGTCTAATTGTATGTTTTTTTAATAAATATGCTAGTAGTGACCCTACTCTGCTCTAGTTGTCGGTACTTCAGCGGTGGACCTTTGATGGATTCCCGTTATGCGGGGCGAAATAGCTTTAGGGGAACTTTAAAAAATTCCTTTGTATAACATTATGTATAGCCGTAAATATTTAGCATTTCATTTTTATTGTCCCTTTGATGACATCGTTTTTGTACTTTGCACTTCGTAACTGATCTCAGAACGCCGTGGAGCTTCTGAAAGAAATTTCTGGTCATAATTTATCCCTCTGACAAAATTGCTAACGGCGTGATACACTTTTTCCTTCAATTAATTACTGCCTTTCCTTTTCAACACTTTATTTCCACCCGTTTCTAGTTTTCTTGAGACACGAGAAAAGCTCTTAATTTTCCTAATTTTCCTGTCGCGTCGAGCTGAACTTAATTCCACAATTAAGGACTAGAATCCATTGTAATAAGATATATTTAACTTTATGTTCGCAAAGTTTAAAGTGTACGAATAAAATTCTTAGCAAATGTTGAGATTTACACCTAGTGTCGTCCTAATTTATCGATACTTTCCTTTTTTACATTACACTAAATTATGACCGAAAAATATAAAATGTTGTAAGTAAAGTTGTTAGTGCGCGTTATCACATGACGAAAAGCGTAGTCAAAATATATTTTTGGTCAGTTTGTTTAGAGATATGTAGTAAAGTAACATGACAACTGTCAGTTATTAACTTACGAGGAAAATTATTCGTCGTGCCTTTTTCTTCGAGTAGATATTATTATTAACTAGCGACCCGCCCCATCTTCGCTCGGGTGCAATGCGGATACTAAATACACTATAGAAACACTGTAAATATATATAAAAACCTTCCTCTATTACTATCACTCATCATCAGTGGCTGTACAGCCCCTCGTGGGCCCCAGCCTCCTCTAAATTACTATCACTATCAAACCGGAACAAAATCCGTTGCCTAGTTTTAAAGATTTAAGAATTACATGGGAACAAAAAAAGCGACTTTGTTTAATACTCTGAGTAATTATACTTTTTCTTTTTATTAAACTCAAATCTATGGATCATTACATAATCCGTATTCTAACCCATTTTTTGTCTAATAAAATCTTCGCGATATACTCTAGTCAAACTATAACGTTTAACGCATACTATTTGTAAACGCAAGTTTACTTATCGATAAAGTAAACGTCCCTGCTTCAATATTTTTATTGCGAAAGTAATATCGATGAAACGGGCACCACTAATTTTATCTTAAGTCGCAGGCTTACCATACAAAGTAGCTGAGCGTTGGCCAAATTTCCGCAATTGCAGTCATCTCGGCTTTATATTGGAGCCAACTTTCTGAATTATAGTGGTTAGGGTTACGGTGTCGTGGTGCCGTCGTTATAGAATATGCCCTTTCATTTAAATATACTGAGTTCAAATTATTCAGTATCTCTTTTAAATTAACCCCTTCGGATAATATTGCTTCGCGTGAGTAGTCGATATTTTTATTGTTGTATACTTGTCACCTTCAGACAAAAACAAGTAAAACTATTCGAAATAATGACCCGGAATAGGTCGCCATGGTTACTGCTAAAACACGCCTAATAAAATATAAACTTGAGATAGTTTATAATAATAGTTACTTTTCTAGGATTTTGAAAACCCAACGGTCGGTTCAATAATAATTAGACCGACAAGTAGTTCGAGTGTTTCCGCTAGATGGCTCTAACTACACATTTCTGATTTCATATCTTTAATTCATTGGTAATAAAAATGTATTGTGAATAAAAAAATATTGATTTTTAATTATAGTAAACAAAATTTATAAACTATTAATAATAAACAGGAATATAATTTTAAAAATAAAAATAACCATATAAATACAGTGTAAACTCTATATAGCGACACTGAAGGGACTGTGCATTTTATGGCGTTATAGAGAGTTGTCGTTAAATGGAGAGAAGAAACATTGTATGAAAAACAAGCTAAACCAACCAAAGCCAATTAATTTCGACGCTTAAGAGAGTTTGTCGTTAAATAGAGTGACGTTACATGGAGTTTACACTGTATTAGGTAAACGTAAAATGCTGTCTTGTCAAATCTTAAAACTTCAATGTTGTCCTTTATATAAAAAAAAGAAGTAAAATTTTAACTATACAATAAAAATTTGAAAGAAGTGTAAAATATAATTTTAACTATTGTGAGTTTGATAAACCACCAATATTGATTAATGACGACCAATTAATTAACTTTACTTTTTGTATGTTATTAAAATAAACGAAGTTCAACGTAAGAAGTGGTGTTTACAAACGCATTGGCAGTTTATGGAATCAAAAGATACTACAAATTGCATAGATACACTTTTGTTGAAAGGACTTCAAAAACCGGACATCTCTATCGAACATGCCTTTGGTGATGGGTATAATCTTATGTTATTCTACAAAATCATAATTAATAGTTTGAGATACATTAATATACACAATTTAATGGAAAATCAATCTTTTTTCCTTCCACAGAAACCGGCTTGAAAGTAATGCAGAACACTGGTCGGCGCTACTTTTATCCTTACGTGAACTCACCGAGTGGGTGATTAGGAAAGAGACCGAATTGAACGCGCTTGCGCCGCCTAGAGGAGACCTTACAGCTCTGATTAAGCAACAGGTAAAATACATTTGATTCAGACTTGCAACAATTACTAAAATATTAAGTAAAGTACAATAGGGTGTATTTTGTGACTTTCAAATAGGAACTATTAAGAGTTAATTTTTCCAATATAAATAAAATTTATTGGTAGATAATAAATATATGGTATCACGTTTAATCAGCTCACCACCATTTTGGTTAAGGGTCCACCGCAAAATGGCCGCGTCAGCTTAATTTCACCACGGAAATGCGCATTTTAGACTTATTATCATTATTCATACTAAATTCACACAATGTTAACCCTTAAATGTGTGAAAATTAAATGCTGATCTGTTCTCTTTACTATCAAATACCTACTTTTACTGTTGAAACGTTTTAAGGTACGCTGACCTAATCGCAGAATATCCTTCTAAAGGATATTATAGACCAACTTTATCTATATAAAAATGCAATTATTTGTCTAAATGGTGTTTAAAACAGTTAAATGATAGACTAGGGCCAGTTAATGTCGATATCGGTCGTTATTCACAATTCTCGCCGCAATTTATTGCGCCGCTCAGCCAAGTAATAACGCGTGCTATATCTTTATCGACACAATCTTGAGATAGTTTCATCATTATTTACTGTGTAATACTATGATCTTGGATGTACATGGATTAATACAAAACTCCCAATAATAATCTAAATGTTGAATGCTGGAATAGAAATAGTTTTACTTTAGTTTATTATTTATTGTTATGACAGCCTTAAGTGTGTAATTAGAAAGTATTCTTTAACTGTATTTCTAACAAAACCAACATATTATTATTATCTATGCCCTCATCAATAACCCTTTAAATATAATGTATATGAATAAATTAACATAAATAAAAACATTATCAAAACTACCATTGAAAACTTTTTATTGAAGAAAGATTAGCGGAGGTAGAAAAAAATCGCTTATTACTTTTTCACTAAGTTAGTGTTAGTAAGTAGAGAACTTGAATAGTTATTAAAATATATATTTTGAATTAATTAAATAGATTCTGTCTAATTCATGGACATAGGACATTATTCAAAAGTACGGAAAGTAAAAAGCACTAGAAAAATAAATTATTATTTTTTCATTTGTGTACAATAAAGGTGGAAAACACACTTGCGAGGCAACCGATACAGCAATGATAACATAGAGACATACTAATTACATATTAAAAGCAATGGTTTTTTTTTTCAAGTGTGAAATTTTATTTGTAATACTTGCATAATTTAAATATAACACTTTAACGGTTCAAAACGCGATATATATTAGTTAAACTAATTTGAAAATTATTCTTAACTTCGTCCCGACGTTTCGGATGCTTTGCTTAAATGTGTACTACACGCGTAAACTACAGACAGGATACTCGCATAATATAATGTACACACTTTACTTGTAAACATATTTTTGTTGAATAAATAAATAAGTATTGTATTGTCATAGCCACATTTTACATATACATATGCTTATGACTGAAGTCTAAAGCCCGATTGTATTAATTTCAGGACGACCACCGCGCTTTCAGGCGCCAGCTAGAGGACAAACGACCGGTGGTGGAAAGTAACCTGCTCAGCGGTCGACAGTATGTCGCCAACGAACCACCTCTGTCCGACACCAGCGATACTGAGCGTGAGTTTCATATTTTGTATAAAAATGTATGTTCCATATACATATGTACTAAGAATAATTTTCTAGATGGAATCTCGACACAATATCTTTTTTTCTGATTATTAATATCATAACCCTCTTAACTTTAAATACATTTTTATTTAAAAAAAATGTGAATACTTAAAATAGGGTTATAATCTAAAATTCTCTTTATATACCAGTAGATACATGTATTGATTCAGCCTGTTTGGTGTCCACTGCTGGACATAGGCCTCCCCCATAGACTTTCAGTACATGTATATTATTTTATATTATTTATTATTATTATTATTGTTTGTCTCTGCTTAAACTATTAGTTTGAATTGAATTATTTTTTGCATTAAATATACCCTTGAGGAAGGCTTAGGCCATATACCCATCACACTGCAACCATTAGGAGGGAACTAAATGTGGACACTAAGAAATATGTATAAAGCAATGATTCCTCATTAAACAATCTTTAAAAAAATACCATAACAGTATTTACCCCTTAAGGTTAACTTGCAAAAACAGTTTCATAGTAATGAGAATTGGTCAAAACAAGTAATGCAAACTATTTGTTAGAGTTGTATTATGCAATAATATGAACGGCAAGCATCAAAACGATATTAGCCAGATCAGCCAGTGTGTTGTTAAAGCGAGCCTATTAGCACACGATTGTAAATTCCGAGTGATCAGCGAGAGCCAATCGGGGACCATGATTGAATGGTTGAACTTAAGCCTATAGCGCAATTCCATTCGAGAAATTGCACAGGTTTTTGCGTATAATTATGCCCAGAATACCTTACCAATGTCTTATAATATAACGAACTCTTCTAGATATCTTTCTCTCTCTCGTCGTGTCGCATTGCAATCCTGCAATTGAGATTTCAATTTGCAACAATATTCCGACACATACTTAATATATATAAATAAATATATTTAAAAATGAGAGCGATAGCGGCTACGACAAAACAACAAACATAATGAACTGGTGCGCTCAACCTACATCTCGAGTTGTTTCAAACCCAACTTTAATTAAAGAGCCTTCATTCAGTGCGATTTGAAAATCTTCAGAAACGCGTTGAATGCTTCTTGTACGAGATGATCATTTCGATGAAAAGGTTAACTCTAAGATACTGTAGATTCGTGAACTTTAATTGCTTATCTTTTAATGTAGCTTAAGGTTAAAATGTATGAAGACTTCATTCAAGAAAAACGGTTATTTTAATTGGGTTTACATAATTTGTATAAGGTAAAGGTTTCATTAATGCTGGGTAATATCTATACTAGCATATAAAGCTAAAGAGTTTGTTTGTTTGTACGCCCTAATTTTAGGAACTACTGGTTCGACTTAAAAAAAGTGTGTTGGTTAGCACATATACCGAGGAAGGCTATAAAACATCGCGCTGCGACTGCGAAGGGAACAATTATTCGTCCTTGTGAGTTTCTGTTGCAAAAGCGGTTTAAGATACCCAAAAGAATGATCCCCCATTATATGTCTATCTTTAAGATTACCTTGCAAGAACAACGCGGACGACATCGTGGGCAACGGCTTAAATATGGCTTTATAGAGCTGAACAGTAGGTTTGCAAAAACAATTTTGATGCCCAAAATAACTATTCTACACGGGCGAAGTCGCTGACACAGCAGTATTATGTACATCTTACGCAATGTTTGTCTTTTCTGTATTTAAAGAAAATTGTATTATCTTGTAGCGAGCCGTGAAAGCGAGGGTGACTCCCGCGGATACCGATCTGCCGAGGAACAGGCTCGCGAACTGGCACGCTCCATTCGCCGTGAAGTAGCGAAATTGGCGGACAAGTGGAATACGCTAGTGGATCGTAGCGACGCCTGGGGCCGCTGTCTGGACGACGCTGTGCAGGTTTGTTTTAATTTTAAGCAATTAATAATATTTGTAAGTGAGATGGCACTGGTGACCCGAATATGTTTCGACCCAATGAATACTTTGGTTTTGTTCTCTATTTCTCAGTTAGGTGTCCAGGTCGCCTAACCTTTATGTGTTTATTCGTTAAGGATATGAATCTGGCCTTTTTTACAAAGTAAATTACGTCATAAATACTTTACATTCTTACTAAATTACACACTATTTTAATTAAGGGTGTATTTGTAAAATGATGTATACTTTGAGACATTCAGTGCCATCTAGTATAAGTATGGACTGATTAAACAATCGTATTGATGACCATTTAGATGTTTATCAAATCTGGACAGATGGCGCTGTCTTCATTTTAAAATGTTTATTAAATAATTTGGTAACTAATTAGAACATTAGGAAGACTTATATGAAAAAAAAATAAGACTTCACGAATAGAACCTAACCTTATGTTAATGGCTTAAAGTTAATCAAATCGAAAAATAACAGACTCATACAAATCCACCAAAAGTTCCTTTCTAATACAATTAAAATCAGATTGTAAAAATACTGTCTAATCCTACTAACCGGATGTCCGTCCCTAATATTGTATTACTACGGGCTGTTTTGTGTCTAGTTATGAAATAAAAGCGTAAATTACTTTTGATTATGCGCAGCCATGTACAAGCAACTACGAGAGCGGCATTGGACTGAAGATTATATACACAAGAAATATAGCATTTACGTTTAATTTTATATTTTATTTATTCTTCATTATAATATAATAGCAAGAAAACAATACACTTATCTTAAACGTTCCATAAATCGATATTAGTCTGTATTAATTGTGTTATAATCTATTTAAAATATGGATGTTTTGAATTGCTTATGTTATAAAGAAGACAAAAGTATGCTTCAAGGCCACACTAAGACACTACCTTCGTAAAGTAAAATTCATACTCAATTGAAATAAAGCATTTAACGGTTTCGAACACAAAAGATTTAACTTACGTCTATGGTTGTAACTACCGATGTTCCAATGCTAATTTACACTACAAACAATATTTAGGCTTCTTAATTTTAAACTATTAGTAGAAATACTGACACGGTGGCTCATTTCTTTGAGCAACAGAACGGAACGCTGTGAATGCCGGTTGTAGTCCTGCCAGTGTTTTTTCAATTTAACATCGATTTTTAATTTATATAATGCCATCATGTGCTCATATTATAGTTTTCAAAAGGAAAAAATCTTATTACCGAAGGAAAGGAAAAAAAAGTGCCTGTTTTAAAATCAAGAATTATAGCACGTATATCTTCAAAAGCTCTAATTAAAAGCTTCTATTCTCTTCTGGGTGACGCACGGTCTGCGATAGGTGAGGTGCATACCTCTACCTTTGGTCTATAATACATGGTCGATTAATATCCGCAGTCGAGTTGTGATCACGCCCCACCCGCCCTGAATATCTCGTGTTCAATAAGCTGGATCGTGGACCTATTACGGGACTGGAAGCGAACTATTATTGCGGGACTGGGGCAAGACGAAAACACCTTTAAAATATTATCAAAGAAGTAGCTCTTGACGTGCTCGTTGGTCTAATGGTAGCAATGTGTGGCTAATACATAATCAATGGATTGTAGTCTTTTATTGTAAAACATGGAAAAAAAAATACGGCACGGTGAAAACTTGAAACAGCGTGCGTGTCGTAGCTCTAAGCAATTGAGCTACCGTGTAATTTTAATTTATAATCGTTTAATCGCGTTTCGATTTCGGTCTGTGCGTCTCGGAATATCCAAGGCCCGAAATAGGTCGAGAACGCATCTTGTTTAGATGTTACATGGCTGCGGTATATCACCTCCCTTGTTCGTCCTCATCTATCATAGAACAATCTATATCACTTTGGCGTTAAAATCTAAAGTAGAGAAGTATCAAAGTAGTTCGAACTGTTTGTGCATATAATGTCTCATCCATTATTTGTATATCAAAGTTAATTGTACAATATGAAGCCAGATTAATTGCTACGACCATTGTTCGGTATTTATGCAACTAGGACATTGCCTGAGACGCAATAGCGAGGCATCCGGCGTTCAACTATTACAAGAATAATGTATATTATGACGATTTCGTTTTTCAGTCTCACACACGACCGCACGTTTACAATCTCTGATAGTTGATATCACAAACTGCTCCATCTTGTACCATGTTTGCCAAAGATCGCCTTAATAAAAAGGAATCCGAAATTGGAATGAGCTGTAGCCCCACCTCCGAGTTTTAATCTTGCGTGGGTCATTGATACTTTAATCCTTAAGTATGGAAGTGTTTATATCGCGAAATATATTGATTGTATTATAAGTGTTTAAGTAATTACTACTAAATTTTGTGTTTACAAACGTTATGTCTCTATTTAAATACTTTAATAATTTTTAGTGAAATATTTATGAATATACATTTTTTCGCTTATTGGGCTAAGTTTGTGCCCTTACAATACATTGCAATGCCTTAATAAACTGTTTGACTGCGTACAATAATGAAGATTCAAATAAAAACCAGCCCCGTTTTTGTAGGACAAAGTATCGCCGTTGTGAGATTCTCGAAAGCCGACTGCAATAAGTTTCCCCCGAGATCCTGCCCGTCAGTTTTGTGCCTAGATTTCGCCCGCTACAATAGTTCCCTCGCCGGAATTAATGAGACAACTTATAAAGAGTACTTAAAAGTATAAAATAATCGCAAATCAGTTTCGAATCGATTCGTTTGTCGATAACAATGCCGCGGAGTTCGTTATCGACGTCGTTATGCGACCACTTGCGACGAGTGCGCTAGGGATGTGCCGTTATCGATACAAAAGTAATTGGCTCGATCGCTTTGTTCGATCCTAGAATACATTGTTATGCAAATTAATACATGTGAAGTTAACTTTTGCAAAAATTGTGTTTGTATTTCAGTGTGTAAATGAGCATTTCTTGCTTAGGTAATCTGTCCTATAGGTATAGTTTAAAATAAACTAAATATATTTCTTTAATAGTGTGGTACAATTACATTATTTTCAGTTACTGGAATTGGTAAATCTGATACAGGGTTACAAGTTAAGTCGGCCTAGATCCTTTAAGGATCCGTTTTCATCATTTCTGACCAATTTGTGTATGCAAGTCCGTATCCCAAACTTAAGCATTTTTAATTTATGGCACATTTAAAGTTTTGAGAAAAATATCCGACTTTTTGTTTATTATTCATGTTTTTGTTGTTTTTACTTTATTTTTTCTTTTACTAACAGTGACGGGTAGGTGGGTACAATCGATATGTCGTCCCACATCACTGCACTAGCATGAATGCGGTTTACACCGAGCCGGTAGCTCGTTAGCATCGCTGAAACGATTGAAACAGATCTCTTTAAGGCTCTTTGCGGTATTTCATCAATTTTGACCATATCACTGTGAAATACTGCTCCGCCGAGGATGCGATTGTGGACGTCAGTGGAGCATGTGAATTTAATAGCTGCTTGACTTCGCTTTTTCGTGAGATAGACGAATTACGCTATAGCGGCTTGACCTGTTTTATTATAATTAGACGGCTGGTTGGAAAGAAAGATGATATATTGCACGATAATCCGATTCGATTGTCTGACAAAACTCATCTCTAATAGATACAAGTTTCAGTTATTATATGCATAACCACTATCACTGATAGCTGATCAAACATTCAACGTTAATTGTTGCAAACGTTATTTGTTGTTTGTAAGATTAAAATTATATTGTGAATACAAGTAATGCATTCATTTTGGCCAAAACTCCATTCCATTAAAACGTTTTTGCGAGTTAATCTTAAAACATAGACATTCACTGCGGACCTTCTTTATCACTTAAATAAAAAACGAATAATATTAACCTACATTTTATCTTTTTATTTCTTGAACTATTTTCGCGGCGCAACCCCCCATAGATGAATAACTTTTCCCATTTATTCTACATTCTCTCCCGTTTCTCTATACCCTAAAGCCTTCCTCTATAAATGGCCTATCCAAACCCAACAATCTTCATATTTATAATATTAGTACACGTAGGAAACACCGCGAAGCGCAGCTAGTGGTGACATAATACCTTTTGTAATAGCACGTAACGCGAACCAGCCACGTCCGGTCAAAGCATTATGAAGTATATCAAACATTGGCCGGTCTTTGACCCCGCAAAGCTGTCGAGGCATCACCACTTAATATATTCATGCACACGACTCCTGATCTATCTGACGCTGCGTGCTTTTACAGTGCCCGGGGCATTTTTATAAAGGTGTCCTTTACGATGTAATCGGGACAAAGTTAAAATCCACGCCCATTAGTCTACTTTGGAAATTGTAAGATCTTTATTGAAACTTCCGTTACTTTTCGCGCGAAATCTTCTTATTTCGATGGGATAGTTTTAATACTCTGAATTTTAGAATTCAGTTCTTTAAGAGGTGGATAACAAAAAAAATTACTTGAAGAGTCGGTAAGCTTAATTGCTTTTCGATTTCAGTTTGGATTTCCCAATATCCAAAACCAAAATAGGTCGACAGCATAGTTCCATGTTATATGGCTGTGTGGTATTTCACCTTTCATCAAGCGAAACCCACGATTGTCTTAGTTACTTGAAGGCAACTAGTCTTATTGACATAAACGGTTTAAAACATTCAAAAACTGCATCAATACGCTGTTTTAAATTACGTTTAATGAGTAATCCTTAATATCCTTTAATGTAGGCTAAAGAGTGATTGAATTTTAAGAAACATGCGGTTAGCGAAATCGAAACCTAACTGTGCTAAGGTTTCATAAAAACGAGTTAATCAAGTGATTTTATATCGAATTTCCGTTCATTTCTGTATTAAATGGGGCCTTGCGGTCATTTTTGTGGCATCGCGAGGCAAACCCTACCAAGGTGAGTGTAAAAGGTTCCATTGAATAAAAAACAAAGAAAAAATGTTCTGTTTTTGGAGAAGAAGGCAGGAACTGCAACAGGACAGTTCACTTGATGGTAAATAAAAC